GCGATGTAAACGATGTGGAAATTGTTTTCTTTTACAAAGCAGAAAGATGAAAAATAATTACACATACAATTATTGTTGTGCTTTGTGGCAATGTAGGTTTGTAAAAATTAGTGCGATGTAAATGATGTGGAAATTGTTTTCTTTTACAAACCAGAAAGATGAAAAATAATTACACATACAATTATTGTTGTGCTTTGTGGCAATGTAAATAATGCTTCCATGATTGTGGAATCAGAATATAATCGGAGTTAATGCAGTTTCCCTTCATGGTTTCTATATAAATCTCAAGAGCCTCCAACGAGCGTAAGTCGTGCCGGTCGAAGGCCCTATGCAGAAGAGTAGCTTCATCCCAACATGGGGAAACCCCAGGTTCAGTAGCATACTGGGCTAGAGCTGTACTATACTTCTGCTTGGACACCTCATATTTGTGGTCCCGTACTCTAGCCTCAAGGGATCTATATGTAGATCCAATATATGTTATCCGACGATTGAAACGTTCATCATGCAAAGGGATGCAGTACACCCCTAGCGCTTTCTTATCATCGGACTTGTCCTTAGTATTAGATAAAAGTCGGAAAATATTCTGTTTTCTCTTATATGTTAAGCGCATGTTCAACTCCTTAGCGATTTTACTAAAATTTTTTTTTTTTTTTTTTTTTGTTTTTTAACTTTTCTCTACAAAGCACCTCGTGTCTTTCCTTTTTTCTGAAAACCATCTTCCATCTAAAATGATAGAACTGTTCTTTTGTGTGTTTCATCCTGAGGACAGCCTCTAAAAGACGGCCAAAAACGTTCAAGCATTAAAATTTTTTGTTCATTCAATGCTGGAATNATACAAAACATAAATCATCTCAAGCAATGTATCATCAATGCCATTACAAGCAAACTCCAACTCCAGCTGTGCTTGAATGTGTTCTTCAGCAGTGGAGGACACTCATTGAAATGTGTTTTCAACACAATGGCAATCATGTAGAGCATATTATATAAATAAAAATGGGTTTTCATATAAAAAAGTTTATTTTTCCTATGTATGGAAACTTATGGGACACCCTGTATATACATATTACAATTGGAAAGCTATGGACTAGATCTGATAAAAAATAGTTTACCTTATTTGCAATTAGCTTCTGTCCCTGTGATGTTATAACAATCTAAGCACTTCTACCATGATTAAAATGCTATGTAGAAATCCTTTTTGATAAGTTTTTCAAGCATTGCCTGCAATTCAGTTTGAATTTCCAACTATTTGAAACATCATTACTTTGGTTTCAATTTAATCTTTGTGTACTATACAGTACAAAGTTATGATGTGGCCAAGGCACCAGCCAACTGCTCTGGGGAGACCCATGATCAGATCAGAGGTGGACAAGCAATCCCAGAAATTTTTATGGGTGGTTCCTCTTAGTCCTTGTTTCCCCCACTGTGGGTCTGATCCAGGGGCGTGCTGTGACATTTGATGATAGGGAAGCTGTGTTTCTATAAGAAGCCGACTTCCAGGGGCAACAAGTTAATTCTTTCTTTAAATGTATTTTTAATAGATTATTTATCTGAGGTACTTAATAAATAAACAAGTTCAATATAATTACCTCTGTTATTAGTTTTAATAGGTTTTCTTTGCCCTCTAAATGCCAATTCTTGCTTTGTTAAAAACATATAACATCTATTTATTTAGATATAATATATTTATTAACCGTAATTATCTCGTTATAATTTTCAATATTTATTTAATATTATTTACTAATATTAAATTCTATTCCACTTCGATTTCCAAATTACTTCAAATACGAAAGAATCGACGATTTTTCGTGTCTTTTGCCAGCTAAATTGTCAAAGCCACTCTTATTCCATACACTAATTTCATTTGAAAATAGTAGGCGAGCCAACAAAACAATTTTTGCATTTTTATGCATTTACAGAGCCATTTTATCGTGAAAATGTCGAACAAAGATATTTGAATTATTTTATTAA